ATGAGGCAGATCCGAGTGATGATATTAAAGATACTTGGGCATAGAAAAAAGATCTTTTGCTTCAAATATATAGACTTGAGAAGAAACTTTGGAAGCAAAAAGCTCATTTGAAATGGATCAAAGGAGACAGTAATACACATTTTCTTCATTCATATGTCAAGATAAGGAATACGTAGTAGAAGACACAAGATTACATGTTTAAACAACCATGTTTGATCTACCTACTCTTATACCCACCTTATACCCACCATGTTTGTGAAGTGTTTTTTTGTCTATGAACCCGGTTCATAGATAATATTTTGTTTGTGAAGTGTTTTTTTTGTCTGTGTACCCCCAGTTCACAGACAAAAAACACTTCACAATCATAAGTGGGTACAAACATCATCTTTGCACTTTAAATACCTTACCGGAAATTGGGGCTGCAGCAATGGACCTTTTCTTATCTCTTTACTCAATAGGAGGTGAAGTCACATCCAATCAGATCTTATAATATATTTCTAGAATTGCTACTCAGGAAGAGAATAGTAAACTCATTCAAATGACAACTGAGGAGCAAGTTAAGCATGCAATATGGGAGCTAAACCAAAACAATGCACCAGGACCTGATAGGTACAACAGAAATATTTTCAAAAGATGCTAGTTCGTTGTTGGTTCAGATGTGATCAAGGTTGTCCAGGATTTTTTTATGGGCCATAATACACCTCAAGGAATTTCTAGTGCTCTTGTTGTTTTGATTCCTACATTTGACATGCCTGCTACCTTTTCATATTTGAGACCTATATGGATGTTTTTACATGGACTGTAATTTGCTGGTCTGATATGATCTTGTCTGGTAATGTCTAGTCTCTTTATATTTTTATAACTATCCAAGTCTGGTCTGGTTTGGGCGGATTACAGTCCAAGTAAAAACATCCTATGCCTATCCAATTTCATTAGTAAGGTTTGTATAAGACTCCTTACTTCAGGGCTTAGTACCATGCTACCAAAGATTATTTCTAAGGAGCAAGCAGGTCTTATGGCAAACTGATAGACAATTTAATAGTCCTTGCAAGTGCACAAGTCGTGGTAGTATAGTGCTAAGTAAGGGTCGAATCCACTGGAAATGCAACTAAGTAATTGGAAAACTATTAGTAAAAATAAAAATGAAATTAATCAAACGAAAAAAAATGAGTTTCGAATTTGTTTGACTTGAAACTGAAAGGCAATGCTTGAATTAAAATGGATGCAAGAAAATTAAAGAACTAAAAATAAAGTGATTGAACAACTAAGACAAAAACGACGAGAATTTAGCAGGATAAAAGGTAGTCCAAGATCATGAATCAGTCGCTAATTTTTAGTATTTGTGATTTAATTAGTCAATTAGAATTGAGGGGTCGTTCTAAAAAAATACTACGTATATGACTATTCCGTATGGCATCCAGAATAAGTCATGTACCTTAACTATTAATCAATAAAATGTTATTAATTAAATAGTTAAAATCCATTAATCACAAAAGAACTACGGAAACCCGATTTAATAACCAAACAAATAACCTAACAAGACAGCCAAACTATCTATTTTTTATCCAAAAGAGCTCGAATTAATAGGCATGACATGTACTCTATTAATCCACTCAAACAACTTAATTAATCATATTAAAATTGGCCAGAGATTAACATAATCAACTAAGCGAATAAGAACAATGGATAAAACTCAACCAATTTACATAACTAAAAACACAATTCATACTAAATCATAGCAACTTCATCATAATCAGGACTTAAAGAATTTAGCTACTCATATTGAAACTGGCTGAGAGTAAAACAACAATAATAAAAGAGTTCATCTTGAACATTTAACAATTAATAAAATAACAAGTACTGCCCATTCCCAAACAACTAAACCAAAGCAAGTTTGATGAGTAACGTGCAGATCAAGATCAAAAGGGAATATTGCTGAATCAAACAAGATTTTTTTCAAAGCACTAACTAATTCCTTCCTCCAGAGAGTTGCAGCCTGAAGTCCAGTTGTCATCCCTTTAACTTTTCCTTTCTTTGCTGATGCCATATGAGTTAAGAGGAGTAACCCTCTTTCAATTTTTCAACAGCCTTTGAAAAACCTCGCAATCAATCCAAAAGTACTCAAGTCATTCAAATAAAATCCTTACCTGCAAAAGTCATTTTTAAGACAAAAGTAAGATTAAAACCTTTCATTAGGCAAATAATAAGTATAGAATTGTGACAAAAATTAATCACACATTCTAACTTATCACAAACAGATACATAGTAGACCCAAATATTGATTGCTCGAGAAATGATTCACTGCATTGATAAAAAGGTCAAAGACTTTAATATGGTGTTCAAGTTAGATATGGTTAAGACTTTTGATAAAGTGTCATTTTGTATTTTGTTCGAGTTTAGGTTGTCTCCCGCTTTTGTACACTTGATTATGAATAATTTACAGTCCACTTGCTTGTCAATTTTGGTTAATGTGGCTCCACGTGTTTTTTTTAAACCTAAGAGAGGGGTTATGGGGCACTAAACCCTTTTCTTTTCATAATAGCCTCAGAAGAATTCTCTGGGGGGTTTTAAGTAGCATATGGAAATATGAAGGATTAAACTATACTGGATGGGAAGATATGGTTATCCTATATCTCATGTAGGGTATGTTGATGACTTGCTAGTGTTCTTATGTGGTGATTCAAGGTCTTTACTTAACTTTAAAGGCTTTTTGACAAGTTATCAGAAACCATTAGGGGAAACAGTTAACTTTCATAAAAGAGCTTTCATAGCTGGTAAAAGTGAAACAGTTGGATGTCGGATTTGAAGGTTTTGTGGTCGAGACTGATGTGGAGGAGCTCATGGAGTTTATCTCAGCCAGGCAGGAAGCTCGATGGTCTATTTATCAATTTTTTACCAGACTAATATGTTGCCCCATTTAGTTTGAAAGGTTTTTTATATTGATTATTATGGTGTTTATGATTTTCGTTGTATTTAAATTGGGTAAGGTACCCCCATTTTCTTTGGTTTTTGTCATTGTGACATTGTGTTGTATTTGGAGAAGGAATACCTTTTTGAAGAGGTCTTGTCCTAGTCCTCCTCTTTGTGTATATTTTTATTTTGCTTACTAAAACTTAGCAAATGTTCTCCGGTATTTGTCCCACCGACATACGTGGTTTGCCTACTGGGACTAAAAAAGGAGCTTCTGGGCATGCAAATTTCTTCTCATCCAATTAAGTACCTGGGAGTGAACCTGCACAAAGCTTCGTGGTAATCTAATTAAACAGTTTGAAAACGAGCTCTCACCTTGAAAGCAAAAGAACCTCTCACAAGGGGGTCGACTTATTCTCATTAAACATGTCTTGAACTCAATCCCACTGCATGTTTTAGCAATTGACAATCTGCCCAAAAAAGTGATTAAGGTTCTTAATAGCAAAATGGTAGGAAAATGTATTTCTCCCCTTTTCATACTCACAAAGGCGTCATAACAATTTCTCCCCTTTTTGGCTCACAAAGGCGTCATAACAATTTCCCCCTTTTTAGGCTGGAAATGGTAGGAAAACGTATTTGCTACAAATAGTCATTTATTTTAAAAAAATGGGTTTTAATTTATTGTTGCGGTTCGAAACCGCAACAAATTACTAGAAGCAAAAAACTGTCACGCCCCGGATCTATCGGACATGTCAACAATCCGCCGTACAATACGAATAGTCAACCGCAGTCCAACTCATCCATATTGTACAAGGCGTCTTGTATATCATTCACACATAGTACATCCATAAACAAACATAATGTAAAATATTCATTTAAAGCAGCGGAAGTAATACAACAAGTGTTCAACCCACACTTGGCAACCATGGGCATACAAGCCCCCAAATAATTATTCAGAAAAATATTATCCATGAGTAGTGTTGGACCCGGGCCGGGTCGGGCCCGGGCCGGGTCAAGGCCCGGTCGGGCCTCGGGTCTTATAAGGGTAGGCCCGGGACCGGCCCGGTCAATGACCGGTTCCGGTTCGGGCCGGGCCACCCGCCCGGGTCACGGGTCGGGCCACCCGCCGGGCCGGGCCGGGCCGGGCCAGTACATTTTTTTTAATTAATTATATATTATACAAATTGCTATTAAAAACAAAGTTCAAGTGCATTTATTTGAAATAAGAACTACATTTGAGAATTGAGAAAAAAATAACAATACGAAATACATTTTGTAATGAATATCAATTGGGATTTCCGCCACCGTTGGTTGTTGTTTTCCCTTTGTCACATGACTTCATATGTTTTATTGGCATCCCGTATCCGTATGAACGCCCCAAGCAACAGTCTTTCTTGCACCACCTGCAAGTTGCCCACCACAGTCCGGTCTTCGGGTCCTTCCACTTGTCAAAATTGTTTTGCATAAGGGAAGATGTACTTTCCATATTTAAAATGGTATATGTATAAGTAGGAATGTAGGATAATAAGAGAAGATGAAGATGGAGAAGAGTTTGAGAAGAATTGGAGAAGAGGTGTAGAAAAATGTTAGAAAATAGATGTATTTATAGATGTTTTTGAACCCCACTCCCCACACCACCACCCCCGGGACCCCCCTGCCCCCCACCCATAGCCCCAACGGCTATATAGCCATTTGGGAGGTTTGAATTAATTTTTTTTTTTAAGTTATACACATATTGTAAAATAAATTAATTAATTTAATGAATTAAGTAAAACTAATACTATTTGTACTTAGAAAAGTGGTTTGATTTATAATTTACAAATGTTACAAAATAGGTGTAAAAGTATTTAAACAAATTACATATTGTAAATGTATTTTTAATTTAAAAATCGGCTTTATATTTTAGAAAAATAATTTTAAGTCGTTAGATTGTAACCAATTAATTAATTTGAGAAGTGCTACATATGAAAAAGTGAACACATATTTATTTGAAATATGAAGTACAAGTTTACAAATTAATTTGAAGTACAACTACAAATTTACAATTTTGAAATATGAAGTACAAGTTTACAATTTTGAAATATGAAGTACAAGTATAAATAAATTTGACAAGTGCTATAAAATACATTTTGTAATAAATTCTAAAATACTAATCAATCGGAATCTCCGGCATAGGTAGAGCCACCATCGGTTGTTGAGTTATCCATAAAATCTTGGGAGGGGGTGATGCTCAATTCTTGAGTTCTATGTGCGGCCTTCAACCAATCGTGGTAGCATATAAGCGTCTCAAGAGACTCCGCGCTCAATCTCGATCTAGATGCCGTTAGGACGTTGCCGGCCGAACTAAATTCTTGTTCCACAGCAACTGTTGAAACCGGCATTGATAGTACTTGCTTAGCCATCCGTGCTAAAATCGGGAACGTTCTTTCTTTTGACTTCCACCAGTCTAGAACGTCAAAGTCATCATTTTCTTCAAAATCAACTTCATATGTTAAATACAAAGTAATCTCATTCAATGCGCTTTGTTCAGTGACGTGAGTTGTTTTAGTTTTTTTCATAAGATTGCCAAATGCAGATTTAAAAATCGATTTTCCTTTAGATGAAGATGTTCGTGACGGGGGAGGGGGAGCGTTGCTATATTGTGCACGAAACTCATTAAATAAGGCATAAAATAAAGTACTAAGCTCGTTGTATTCCGTTTTCGGATCTATGGGGTTATCGTCATACATTGGAAATTCACCGAAAAACGCAAGATAATAGAAGTTGAAACAATCTTCCAAATTAGCAAGTCTATAACGAGGATCGAGAATAAATGCAATACCATAAATATGGGGAATATGCGCATAATATTTTAAAAACTTTTCCTTCATATGATCACAAAAATAATGAACGAAAACGGCATTCTGAAATTCTTTAAAAGCATCGGCGAGATTAACAGCTTGTGGAATAAATTGGTTTGCGGTAGGTTTATAAACATGACTAAAAGTTTCAGTAGCATTAAAAAAATATATCAAAACATTACAAATTTTTTCGCAAGTGTCGATCTCAGCCGCGTTTATAATATAGTTATCATGTTCTTTTAAAAAAGCAGGAAAATGTTTTTTATATCTAAGAACAACTTTAAGTAATTTATAAGTACTATTCCAACGAATACTCAAATCTTTAGGAAAAGCAACATATCTCACACCTCTTTCAGTCAAATAACTTTGTCATTTTAATCTAAGTTGACCATTACCCCAAATACGTCTAATCCCCCCCTTTATTACCTCCATGGAATCTCCTAACGCTTTTAAACCGTCTTGCACACATAAATTTATAACATGACATGCACAGCGTTGATGAAAAAATCTACCCATCAAAGAATTGGCACCACACAACTCACGCAATCTAGGTATAGCAGCAGTATTATTAGTAGCATTATCGAAACCAATAGCAAACACCTTATCAATCAAATTATACTCAATTAAAATACGCTCAATCAAAATATAAATATGTTCAGCGGTGTGACGATCATTAAATTCACGAAAAGCAAGAACACGTTTATGCATATTCCAATCCTCATCAATATAATGTGCAGTCAGACCCAAATAATATAAATGATGAAAATCATCCTCCCATATGTCAGAACAAATAGTAACACGCCCATCAAAGTTTGCAAAAAAATTTTGTAATCTTACCTTTTCCGCATTATAAAGCCTTATTATTTCTTTCTTAACAGTTTTGCGACTATAATTTCTAAATTGAGGATTTAAACTACCTTGTGCATAATCTCTTAAAGCAAGACTTTCAGAAAACAAATAAGGCAAATTTTCTTCACAAATTAAGTTAGCCATACCAGTCAAATTTTGTGCATCATTGTAGGAGAAATTACCAAAAGGTTGAGAATTCGCAAACCTCGATATTTGAGTTTGCTTCCCCGTTCCGCCGCCTAATTTTGCATACTCCACGGGGTGCTTTGCCTTAAGATGCCTTGCGGCGGATCCGTATCCGCCGGAGGTTCCCAAACTATAATTGTTGTTGCACCACTTGCAAGTTGCGTGCCAATAGCCGGATTGTGGGTCCTTCCATTTATCAAAATTATTTTTCATTAGTTCAGACTTACTTTTTTTATTACCGGTGGCGGTTTGGGATGAGGCAGGCGCGTCGGCGTCGTGGCTGCCGGCACCCTCCTCCTCGGCCGTCTCCGGTTCCAATTCCTCCGCATCTTCATCCTCAAGCTCCTCTTCGTCAATGGTCGTCGGCATTTGTTGTTGTTGTAGAAAGCGGTTATTATGTCGGACCAATTCTTGTTGGAGTTGTTCTTCGGACATCGCATCTCCATCTCGCCTTTGGTAACCCGTTTCAAAATCATCTCGGCTTTGAGATGAAGAACCGGCAAGTTCTTTACCTTTGCGGGATTTCTTCCTCCCAATCTCGTTCCTTCGATTGCGTTGGAGGTTACCCAAATCAACCGAATATCTACCCCCTTCCATGTTAAAAATGTAACAAATATTAATTGACAACCAATATAATAATGGATACAAAACTAATGCAACTAATTAAAACTATTTTAATTAATACTTCAAACTAATTTAGTGCAAAGTATTAATTAAAATGTGTGACTTTAAAATTAAAATTATACCAACTTTTGAAGTACTTTAATTTAGTAAAAACTACTTAAATAAAATGTTGAGTACTTTAATTAAATGATTGAACTACTATTTCTTCCTACAAATATAAATTGAAAATAAGAAAATGTGACTTTAACTATAATGAATTAATGACAATTAACTAGTTTATTGAAGTGGAGTTGTTTTAACAATTAATGAGAATACTAATGAAGTAAATAACTAGTATAATGAAAAATGTAACAACAATGCTAATTAACTAATTAACTAGTATAATGACAAATGTAACAACAATGCTAATAATGTCACGCCCCGGACCTCCCCGGACACGTCGACAACCCGCCGTACAATACGAATAGTCAACCGCAGTCCAACATTCATATTATACAAGGCGTCATGAATATCATTCACACATAAGTCATCCATAAACAACATAATAAGTAATTCATAAAGCAGCGGAAAACATTGTTTAAAACGAAAGGGCCACACAGGGCTATTCATGAGCACGCAGGCTCTATAATAAAATATCCATGAGCAAATTTATTAATGTTTCAAATAGAATGGAGGAAGCACGAACCAAGTCTTCTCTCCGAGGAATCACTCGATCAACGAGCACAGGATGCAAGCTCTAGCCTCAACCTGAAATGGTGGTGGGACGCCCCCGAAGGGGTCAGTACTCTATACGGCTATAAAGTACTGGTGTGGCAGGCATCTAATAGATATACAACAAGTATTTCAAACACAAGACCCTCAAATAGGGTGATAGTACATTATGATTGTAACCCTAAGTTACCCCGTTTAAAAATATACTTACTTTATATAAAAGTCAAGTAGTCGGCCCGTGGGCCCGTTTTCATTTGGAAATTACCATTCCCAACCCCGTGGCTATAAGCCACGACAACTCCTAGAGTCCAACCCTAGTACATGACATTGTATTCTAGAGCTCGGCTCTACTACATCACCATACAATTCATATACCTCGGGTCAATTTCCTTACCTTGCGTTCTAGAGCTCGGCTCTATTACATCACCACGCAAGTCCTAGAGCTCGGCTCTAGCTATACAATACATAGACTCCAAGTCTACACCTTACATGCATTCTAGAGCTCGGCTCTATTACATCACCATGCATTAAGGTCCAATTCTCAAGCAACCCTATGCCTAGAATTGACATATCATTAAACTACTTTGGGTCATCCTTAAAGACTTCCCATAACTTAACCTTAGTTCCAAACTAAGTTATTATATACACTTGAACTATATTCAAGTACCTTTCATACAATCCAATCCCTAGGATCAATTTAATCAACAAGTTCCAATAATCACTAACTAGTATTTCAATACTATTAAGATTATTGTTATCATACCATTATCCTCATTATTTGTAATTCTCTACATATTTATAATTATGTAGCAGCAACTTAAGTATTCAATCTCAATACATAAATATTTATTTATGTATCCACATAATTCATACATGAGCAAAATGCCCATTTCACAAAATAGTTCATTTATACTCATTTAATCTCATATTATTCATACCTTCTCAAATCATTTCAAATTTCATTCCTTGGCAACTATATCAGTATTTCATCAATATATAATCATCATAATCCATGAAAAATCATGATTTAAGCATTTAGGTAATCTCATGCTTAACCTACAAGTTGTAAGCAATTAGATGTCAATCCTCACCTCAATTGAGCTTTAAACTTTCCCTTCTTGGTCCAATGGTCAAAGCTTTGGTCAAGGTGGATTTGGAACTGATTCCTTGCTCAAATATGAGTGTTAAACAGCCTCCTCAAAGTGCTAGTTCAACCCTTAATCGTTGATACGAAAACAGCCCCTAGAACGGGTGTTTTCCGGCTAACTCGATTCCTAGTTTTCCAATATTTGCATCTAGGTTAGTATCTAACCTTTACATCAATAAAATAACTTCATAAGGACATATTATACACTCCTAGTAGTGTATAATAGTCCCACCAATCGTTCATATCATTTGGAAAATGAAAAGGAAGGTTTTGGATTCAAACTTACTTTGAATACAAAACTGTGTTCTGCGAGGTTGCGTTTTGTTCGGACAATCTGGAAGCCTTCCACTACTCCGATTGATGCAAACCAGACCTCCACGGATTCCTCGTCTTGAGAGCTTTCTTTTGGTACCTTATACGCCTTAATTGGACGAGTAAATCTCAAGTTATGGCTCGAACAGTAAGAGCTTCGCACTAAAGAAAGAACCTGCGGACTGCTCTCCTTCTTCCTTCCCTTTTGAGTTGTGTGGATACCTTTGCTCTCTTATCTCTTTTGGGGGGTCGAATGGGGGGTTGTGGGAGTATACAAGAGCTCTCAATCATGTTACCAAGGCATGTGGAGTGGTTCCCAATTGATCCCAATCATTTTGGGGTCCAAAATATCTACCAATACTTCCAAAAAAATGGGAAGATGGGTCCTATTGTTTTATCTTTTGTCAAGAGATGTCTTTTTGTACTCATCCTAATTTATTTAGAACAAGTCAACTTCCTACATCACATTATTGGTCTCCAATATGTGTAGGCTCATCTCAATAATTTACTTGATGGATATTATAGGAGGAAAATCCTACTCCCATTATTTAGCTCAATAATGCCAAAGATGGGGTTATAGGCATTTGTATTCTCCTTTAATCATTCTATCACTTATTTGACATTTGTCATACATATTATTGGACTACTAGCTGTGTGGGTCACTCCCGAGTGGATCCAGGACGCCATTCTCGAATACTTGCTATTTTTTAGCAGGTTGGGCCCAAAATGAGTATTCGCCAGCCCGATACTAATATACGAGTTCGAACAGTATAATAATCGGTCATTAATTACGTAAAACATTAATCGTTAACAAATGTTTGGAAATCAGAAATCCAATACATAAACTTTGAATTTTAAATCAAATTTTCAAGGACCTTCGGGAGCGGTGTCACAAATAAACTAATTAACTAGTATAATGAAAAATGTAACAATAATGGTAATGAACTAATTAACTATTATAATGATAAATGTAACAAGAATGCTAATTAACTAATTAACTAGTACAATACTAGTTATATTAAGTAATATATAATATAATATTTATAGTATATAATATATAAGTATACTACTATAAGATGAGTAATACACTTATATTTTATACTTTAATATATAAAGTATATATTAAGTAGATGTAGAATGTATGTATTAAGTGGATATAATAATTGTATAAGAATTAAATATTAGAGTATAATGGAGAATTGGAGATTGGAAAATAAGAAAATAAGTATATATAAAATAGATATTATAAAGTATATATAAAAGTAGATATTATAAAATAAGTATATAAAAAATAGAAATTATTAAGTAGAGAAGTAGATATTATTATGTATTAAGTATATAGTAATAGTTTATAAAGTATATTTAATACTTTATTATATAAAGTATATATTAAGTAGATGTAGTGTGTATGTATGTATGTATTAAGAAATATAAGTAGAGATTAAGTAGATAAGAAATATAAGTAATATAGTATATGTATTTATAAGTAGATAATTAATATATAAATAGATATAATAATTGTATAAATATTAAATAGTAAAATAAAATATAAAGGAGAATAAGAGAATTTGAGAAGATGAATATGGAGAATTGGAGATGAGTAGAGAGTAGGATTTAGGGAGAGTTGGAGAAGAGGTGTGAAAAAATGTTTAAAATTAAGAGTATTTATAGGTTTTTTTTAACCCCCACCCCCCCCCCCCCCCAAATACCCCGGACCCCCCTGGTACCCCCCCCCCCCCCCCCCCCCAACGGCTATATAGCCGTTTGGGAAGTGTATTATGACCCAAAAGGTTTTTTTCAAATTAAAAAGAATATTTTTTTTTTTTAAATCTGACCGTTAGGCCCGGGCCCGGGCCCGACCCGGCCGGGCCGGGCCTCCAAAAACAGGACCCAAGCCCGGACCCGCTAACCCAACCGGTTCGGTGCCCGAACCGGGCCGGTTCCGGGCCCGCACAGTGACGGGCCGGGCCGGTCCCGGGTCGGGCGGCCCGAACCGGGTCCAAGCCTATCCATGAGCATTAATTTAATTATTTCTAAAACAGAAGCGGAGGAACACGAACCACGTCTTCCTTCCTTGATTCTCCCGAAACAAGGGCACCGGTAGCAAGCTCAACTCCTACCTGAAACTGTGAGGTGGCCTCCCCCGTGAAGGGGAGGTCAGTACTTGGAAGCATTTGACAAGTACAATGACAACTATACTAAGTATAACCAATGTTTCAATTTCCAAGACTCTCAATCTAGGGTGTTATTATATTATAACAACCATGGATTTTATTGTGATAAATGTACTTTTACTTCATGAAAGAGGTCATGAAAGGATAAAAGTGATATTTTGATATTCAAACAAGATTTTACTTGGAAGAAGAATTAAATCGAAATACTGTGAATCAAGAACTTGGTTATACTAAGGTCAAACGACTAGTATAGGAATACTAGTCGGAAATGTTAATTCGAATAATTTTAGGAACCAATCCAAAGATATTGAAATGGGAGGATCACACCTTAAGTAGCCTCAAGAGATATGTTAAGAAATGTTGTTTTAAGGTGGATTTTAGAAATCCTTAATTACATTAGGAGTGAGCCTTAAAGGTTACTCAAAATGAAGGGAGTCTAGGCTAAGAAAATTGCTTAGAGAATAGAGCTCGGCTTATAGTTATACCACATTTTGCTAGAGCTCGGCTCATAGTCACACCACATTTTGTTAGAGCTCGGCTCATAGTCACACTACATGTTGCTAGAGCTCGGCTCATGGTCATACTGCATTTTGCTAGAGCTCGGCTCATAGTCATACTACATAAAGCTAGAGCTCGGCTCATAGTCATCCTACATTTTGCTAGAGCTCGGATCATAGTCATACTACTACGTGCTAGAGCTCGACTCATAGTCACGTCATCTATTCTCTAAGCAATTTTCTTAGCCTAGACTCCCTTCATTTTGAGTAACCTTTAAGGCTCACTCCTAATGTAATTAAGGATTTCTAAAATCCACCTTAAAACAACATTTCTTAACATATCTCTTGAGGCTACTTAAGGTGTGATCCTCCCATTTCAATATCTTTGGATTGGTTCCAAAAATTATTCGAATTAACATTTCCGACTAGTATTCCTATACTAGTCGTTTGACCTTAGTATAACCAAGTTCTTGATTCATAGTATTTTGATTTAATTCTTCTTCCAAGTAAAATCTTGTTTGAATATCAAAATATCACTTTTATCCTTTCATGACCTCTTTCTTGAAGTAAAAGTACATTTGTCGCAATAAAATCCATGGTTGTTATAACCATCATGCCATCATTTTTATAACACATAATCATACACAATTTACTCATAAATTTGTATATTATGCGTACTATACCTATAATCATTAGTAATTCCACTTAGGCATTATTTGTCATTGATAATCCATGCAAATCACATTGTTCTCATTTAGGTAATCTTATGAAATTAACTCAAAAATTATAAGCAATATAGTCGGTCATCCTCACCTTAAGTGAGTCCTTAGCGCGTTCTACGCTTCCCGATTGAACTTTGGCGAATTCCGGCGAACTTTGATCAACTCCGGCGGACTTTGACCAATTCCGGCGAAACTCCGGCGAAGCTCTAAAAACACTCAAGCAAGTTCCTAACGAGGTTTTAACATCATAAAACCTTAATCAATACAAATAACCTCTAAAAGGTTATTTTCCGGCAAACCGGTTGTTTTGGCCTTTAAGTCCGTTCTTGGACTCAAAGTTACGTTTCAACCCATCATCCCACACTTAAAACATGTGGAACGATCCTAAAGGTTATTACCTTAATTTTCACACTTTTAGCACTTTAACTTCTTTTCTAGAGATACCTTCTTGTTGAGCTCCCTTTAACAATGGTGAGAGGTGGCTGGAGAGTCCCTTGTCTTTGCTTGGTGTGGGTTGGCCGAGAATGAGGAAGAAAGAGGGGTGAGATAATCCTTTTGTCTCATTGATCAAATGAGTGAACAAAAATGGGGGTCCATCATATGTACCTTTGATGCCTTTCCATTCAACCCCAACTAGGGGTGGGCACGGTCCGGGACGGTCCAGGATTTGGCTTATCCCGTTCCGTCCCGGTTTTATAACAACGGTCCGGTACGGTACGGGATAAGTCTTTATCCCAATGTTGTCCCATTTAAAACGGGATCGGGACAACCCGAGAAAAACCGGGACGGTTCGAAATGCCCCATAAAATATGCGTTTGTGCAATGTAATATAAAATAAGCTAACATCAAAATAAAGATGTAACTATTTTTGCAAATTTAGTTTCCCTACAAATTTAAGTCAAACCTTTATTTAATTAACTAATTTTAATTTTTGTCTTGCAAATTGTTTTGGTCCCCCTAATCTTGTGTTTCCTCTAGTAGAATAGTAGAACAAAATATTTTTATACTTTGTAGTACACATGTAATTTTTCAATACTACATTAAATTAAATATCATATCTATAAAGACATTATATATATATTTGCTAGTAATTATTTGGGAAAATATTAAATCTATAACGACACTAGAATTTGGAGTAGTAGTTATTCCATCATAGATAGTATTCCGCACGTAATAATATATTATGGATTACTATTGGGGTGAGAACTAAACAAATTTTAATCAAAAGAAACTAAAGAAATGAGACTAAGAGAGACATGAAATAAGATAAAATTACACTAGGAAGATTAAGGACCAGATTTAAAGTTTTAATTGGGTTTGGCTATTACATAACATTAGAAATTTAAAATAACATACTAATTTCAAACGGGACACCGGGACGGGACATGATATTTTATAGTTGTCCCGGTCCCGTCCCGGTTTATATCGGTGCGGGACCGGTTCGGGATGAAAAAATTGCGTCCTAAATGGATCGGGATAGTTTCGGAACGGTATCGGGATTTTTCGGTTTGGGACACCAGGACCGGGATTTTTGCCCACCCCTAACCCCAACATCTCCCACCTTCCCCTTTCCATTCCAGCCGCCCAACCCCTTAGTTTACATGACTAAATTCGTGGGTTGGCCCCCACCCATGTGGGAGGTCAACCCTTTTTGTCCAGAAGTGTACAATCGATTCCGAAAGTTGTATTTTTCGGACTTTTAAATATATTTTATTTTATCGGGTCAAATAAAATATATTACATGTTCTCAATCATTATGACTCTCATAATGAATATACATTCCCCAACTTTAATTTATAAGTCTCCGAAATTCATTTCGGGCTGTTATCTGTGAAATTGCCAAAACCGGTATTTGAGCC